ATGCCAGCGTATGCCCATAGGCATACGTCCCGCATACGCGGGCCATAAGTTGTAGGTAAGTTATGCGATCGTTGACACACACAAGTTCACACACGTTATTTGGAAGTTACTCATAAGTCGAAATACGTCGAGATAATGTCTAGCGTACCCAAAACTTATTTCTAACCTATGAGTAACGTGCTTTGAACCTATGTGTAACTTATCTCCAACGCATATTGACGTATGTAGACGTATTTGACATGTTCCGGATGACCACAGAACTTACTGAACGTGTTTCTAACTTACAAGTTACAGCTACCGTATAATGGCGTATTGGCAGCGTTTAGGGGAATTGGTATAAAAAAATGGTATTGGCATGTTGATACTGTGACGGTGATGTTGATACTGCGATGTCTAGTGCGGTTATGATTTGAATCGTCGAGCGGCAGCCTTTTAATAGGCTACGACACGTGATCGTCGGCGATACGCTGCCGCGCGCTATGCATAAGTTAGACTATCGTTGGGCATAAGTTGTGAACGCCGGCAACACGCTAAGCATTCGTTGGTATAACTTATAAGTTATCTATAAGTTATCGAAACGTTCTATATAAGTTACTAATACATTATCATATGTATACGTCCAACTCGTTATGAATACGCCATGTATGTGCCCAAAATTGAAAAAAACATCGATAGTTCAGCGTATGCTAGCGTTTTAGAGAAATTTTGATACGTCGGCATACGCTGGCTAAATCGTCAAGGTGTGACAGGGCCATTAGACGCATGTCATTTCTGTTGTTTGTGCACAGTGGCGTTCGTGCGGTGTGCTTGTGTGTTGCAGAACAGCATATGAACAGCATTTACAGGAATTGTCAGTAATCATTTTTAGCTCATCTGACATAGTCTGATGCAGCTTGTAGAATCGCATGATCGTCCGTGCTTACGTGCGTGCGTGCGTCCGTTCGTCAACAGTTGGGCACAAATCTTAACCGCACGACGTACGGTCACGATATTCGGGACGTTGGGGGGGTCGTCAAAACGAGTTGGGATGTTGAAGCTGGGGGTCAAAGGTCAAATGTCAAGAGGTGTAAAAGAAGGGGGAACATTCCCTCCTTAACTTAAGGTATAGGGAGGAAATACAGAATTGCGGCACAAATCTAAACGGCTCGACCTAGGCTCATGATAGTCAGTGTATAGCATCATGGTAGGAAAAGCCATCACTGTGCCGAAATTTGAGGTCACAGGTCAAAGGTCAATGGGGCACAAGGCAGATTTTAGACATTTTCTGAGGACATGGTCTGACGGAGCGATTGAAAAACTTTTTTGTTTCAGCGGTGACTGTGGTAGTACTATATAGATAGGTGATGAGGCTGCGGCGGTGGAGTGATATGAGAAATAAATGACTTGAAAGATGGGCTACCAAATCATAATCAGTGTTCGCAGTTTACTGGTGATGAGATACCACAACATGGTGGCAGCGGTTTGGTTTACGAATCCACTGTACAGTCAAAGTCTCCATCATTCTTTGGTCATTGGGATCATGCAGCCTCGTGATAGAATGGACGATGAAATATCTGGCTAGCTTGCAGCATACGAGAGACTGAATTAGACGAGATGAGAGTCACTACAGAGTACAGGCTACAGCCTACATTCCACGGCAGGCGAACGACAATGAAAAAGGTGGGAGATCACGCGCAACTTGGCCGCTAAAGCAGGAAGGACACAGAGAGCGGAGAGATCAAATAGCAAGTTGGTGAAGAAGACCACGGCTGTTAAGACTGTTAAGAAAACTGCAAGTGCGGTGCCTTCATGGCAATAAGCCGACGCGCACAAGGCCTCGAGTTCTAAGACTGCAACGAGTGATAGAAGAAAAGGCTGTCGTATTCGCTTGCGCTCTAGACAAAAGGACGCATCTAAGACATCTGGAAAAGCAAGTGTCATCATATGCCAATGCGGAGGAGAAAACGAGGCCAGCGCAGCCAAAGACTATAGACACATAAAGAGTTAAAGAAGAACGGTATTGTTAATATATATAGCCTGTACTTGTAGCATCAGAATACCATAGCCAGTAAAACGAGCGGTCCCGGTTTAGTATGTGTGTTAGAGTTTTTATATATCCAAGCAGCACGCTGAAGATTGTATCAATCCCGCGAATAGGCAGGTCTATAAATAGACTCGACGGGTATAGACCGAATCAAGCGAAGTGTATGTTGTATGCTAATATGCTGTAGGTCCATGCGTGCATTAATGACACACGGTATAGATAGGATGCATATTGACTGGTGTTCGCGATTCTGGATGGAATTGTAATGTACCTGCATGTGATAGGTGCAGACGTACAGTGTTGTATCTCACACAGAGCATATATTGGCAATCGCGTATCTTTGAGTCAGGCTGCGGTGCGGTAACACTACTGAGACGACTGTTTGGATTTAGTGTTGAGACCGTTGGATATTTTCATCAGTCTCTAGGAAGATCATTTGTTTACTTAAGTTGAGAATCGAGGATAGTCGTAACATGGCGCTCCTACCAGAAATGAGTTGGTAGATGCCAGACCTGGCAAGTGGGTTCTCTCTTTTTAGACAGCGTATGGAGCTGTGTTTAAAAGACTTAGACATTACAAATGAGGTAAAGAAAGCAACGAAGATAAAGATTGCTCTAGGGACAGAGGGTTTGAGACGCCTCAATGCATCAGGTCTTAGTGAAACAGACCAAAACGATCCGGAAATGATTTGGAAGTACTTTGACAAGCAGTTGAGAGTCGACATCAATTTCCGCATCCATCGCCTTGAGTTCATGAAGTACAGGCAGCACCCTGAAGAGACAATCGATGTGTTTGTAACGGGTTGCAGGGACAAAAGCCGCCAGTGTGATTTTTCTAAAGAGGAGCTCAATGAACGCATAGTAGAACTCGTGATTGCATCCACACATTATGATGGCATGCAGCGCGAGTTGTTGCAGAAACCGGCGGGCTATGCCCTTACAGACGTGGTTACCCTAGGCAGGCAGTATGAAGCTATTGCTGCTGGGAAACAGTGTCTGGCAGACCTCTCACGAGTGTCGAATATCGACGCAATCCATAGGAACCCACTGGGGCCAAACAAGGGAGGGAGACCGAGGACAAGTGATTGCAAGCAATGCGGTTTCTGCAGACTGCACCATCCTTCCAGACAGTGCCCTGCATATCATGATACCTGCAAGCGCTGTGGAAAAAGGGGGCATTGGGCCAAGTGCTGCAGATCGAAGTCGGATAGAACTCCTATCCCCTCCTGGAGGCGTAGACCGAGACAAGAGAAAGTGGATACCCTGCCTGTAGAAGAGGGCCAATTACTTGCGGACCACGGGGAGGAGGGCTTCTCTCAAATGTTTAGCTTCATATTGATTTCGAGCATGGACACAAAGGCAGGTGAGAGGAAGCCTTCACAGTTCTGAGCATCACCTGTCCATCCAAGGTTGGAAAACATCGCCTGCAAGTAAAAGTAGATACTGGGGCAGGTGGCAACACACTCCCCCTCCGTATCATACATGAAATGTACCCCAAGGGACAATGGCGCTCTATTGTGAGACCACGACAAGTACAGCTTACTGCGTACAATGTATCCAACATCCCTTGCATCGGTTCCATTGATCTCATGTGCCTATACAAAGACTCCACATGGACTAAACAGGAGTTCTTTGTAGTTGAGGTAGCTGGACCTGCGATCCTAGGCCTACCAGGCAGCAAGGCTCTGAGTGTTGTCACCATCCATACAGTGACGAAGGATGACAAGCCGCTAGAATACATACATGACCAGGTCCAAAGCATTCAGACAGTTAAGGTTCTCGTGGAACGGTGGCCACAACAGTTCGACCGAATAGGTGATTTCAAGGAACCGGCCAATCTTCTATTGAAGAAAGATGCCACGCCACACATCGATGCTCCCCGGAAGTGCAGCATACACATTAAGGACAAGCTAAGAGCAGAGCTCGATAAGATGGAGGACCAAGGAGTGATTCGTAAGGTCAAACATCACGCTGACTAGTGCAGTTCCATCACAACAGCGATCAAGAAAGATCATAGATGGATCCATTCGGGTATGCCTAGACCCAAAGCGTTTGAATGAGAATCTCAAGCGATGCCCCCACAAGATCCAGACACTGGAAGAAGTTAACCCAGAGTTCACAAACGGGAAGTATTTCACCAAGCTAGACGCCAAGTCAGGCTATTGGTCCGTGCATCTTAGTGAGGACTCGCAAGAACTGACCACATTTTGTTCTCCATTCGGCAGATACTGTTTTCTGCATCTACCCTTTGGGCTTTCCACAAGCCAGGATGTCTTCCAACAAAGAATGGATAATATAATAGGGCAAGTCCCGGGTTGTGTGTGCATCGCAGATGATGTCGTCGTGATGGGTAGTACAGAAGCAGAGCATGACCGCAACCTATTGAAACTGTTTGAGACAGCAGCAAAGGAGGGCTAGTGTTCAACAGCAGCAAATGCATGGTGAAAACAAAATCGATCAATTTCTTCGGACCGATCTACTCGGAAGCTGGAATCAGTCCAGATCCCTGCAAGGTCGAAGACATCCACGCAATGCCTACCCCACAGGACAAGGAGGATCTCCAGAGGTTTCTGGGTATGATGAACTTTTTGTCTCCCTACATCCCTAATTATGCAGATCAGGTCGCTATCTTGCAAGATTTATTAAAGAAAGATGTTCCGTTCCTGTGGCAAGAAGACCACCAGGAAGCATACTGCCAACTAAGGAAAGCATTTCAGCAGGACAGCTCGCTGAAGTATCATGATCCTGAGACACCTGTCACCCTTGAGGTAGACGCCTCATCGAAAGGGTTAGGAGCATGCCTATCACAGCAAGGAAAGCCTGTGGCATATGCCTCAAAAAGTCTCGCCTTGCCAAGCTCAATACTCCAATGTTGAGAGGGAGACGCTGGGACTCGTCTTCGGGATTACTAGATTCCATACTTACCTATTTGGAAGAGACTTCAAGGTGTTGACTGACCACAAACCCCTTGTGACAATATGCGCCAAGCCACTCACGAGTGCCCCGCCCGACAACAAAGGCTTCTCGTAAAGATCCAAGGGTACAACTTCACCATTGAACACCACCCAGGAACAGAGATAATCATTTCTGATACGCTCAGCAGATTGCCTAATCCACTGCGCACAGAAAATGTGTCACTTGATGTCCATGTAGAGTGTGTACTACTGGATGAAGTTGAGGACATGTTGGGCATTGATTTACTCCATTTTGGGAACCTCAAGCAACAAGCTCTACAGAAAGAGACCACCCAAGATCCTGTTCTGCAGAAAGTGAAAGAATTTACCCACACTGGTTGGCCCGCAATCATTCAGGAGCTGCCGAACGAATTACGCCCGTACCGGCCGTTTCGTGATAAACTAGGCATGTCAAATGGGGTTATCTTCAAGGGCAGACAAGTGATTGTGCCTCAATCCATGAGAACGGACATTCTGCAGCAACTGCATAGTGGGCATCCAATCATCGAGAAGATGAGACTTCTGGCACGCCAGTCTGTTTACTGGCCAAACATCAATCGTAACATTGATGAACTTGTCAGGAAATGCAAACAGTGCCAAGAGCACATGCCTCATCAGAGAAGGGAACCACTTATCCCTCATGAAATCCCCATTACGCTATGGACCAAAATTGGTATGGATCTGTTTGAGTTGGACAGGGTACAATACCTTATAATGGTGGATTACCATTCAAAATTTCCAGTTGTACACCGATTGGCTTCGACGACCAGCTCAAGTGTGGCTAATGCAATAACTGGAATATTCAGCCTTCTGGGATCTCCCACAGAGGTGATGTCAAACAATGGCCCACAGTTTGTTAGTGCAGCGTTTCAGCAGATGTGCAAAGAATGGGGAATAACGCACACTACTTCCTCACCACGATACCCCCAGTCGAATGGTCTGGTGGAGAGAATGGTCCAAACAGTAAAAAGGAATCATAAGAAAGACAGGCAACAGGAGAAAGCTCAGCAGCTGCTCTACTGAATCTGAGAAGCACTCCAGTAGACGCCCATTTCCCCTCCCTAGCCGAAATGTTGTTTGGTCGGCAGGTCCGAACACGACTCAGCTAACCTAGATTCCAACACAACGTACAATGGACAACGGAACCAGGAACTCCTGGAGCAACGTAGGGAACGAATGAGTAGGAGTTATGATGCAGCTGGAAACAAGCAAGAACTCCGACCACTCCTCATAGGACAAAACGTTCGATTTCTAGACAAAGAATCCCACACATGGATTCCAGCACAGATAACTAAAGTGTGTGACGAACCCCAGGCACGGTCTTATGTTGTCACCACACCAAATGGCACCCAACTTAGGAGGAATAGAGTACATTTGAGGGACATCCCGCAGATGCCTTTCCTGGCAGAACCAAATAAAACAGAGAGTACAGAACGAAGGGAGCAAGACAAGGTGCCAGATCACACAGCGGGTAATGAAACAGAAGTATATCGAACACGTTCTGGACGTGTCAGTCAAAAGCCAGCCCGTTATTGTTGAAAATATAACGTGCGTGCGTGCGTGCGTGCGTCAACAGTTGGGCACAAATCTTAACCGCTCGACATACGGTCACGATATTCGGGACGTTGGGGGGGGGATCGTGAAAAGGACTCGGAATGACCAATTTGGGGGTCAAGGGTCAAAGGTTAAGATGTGTAAACGGAGGGGGAATATTTCCCCTTTAACTTAAGGTATAGGAGGAAATACGGAATGGCGGCACAAATCTGAACGGCTCGACCTATGCTCTTAATATTCGCTGTATAGTGTGATGGGCAGGAAACCCATCACAAGTGCGAAATTGGAGGTCAAAGGGCATTTGGGGAAAGGTCAGATTTTAGACTTTTTCTTAGGACATGGTCTGACGGAGCGATTGTAAAACTTTTTTGTTTCAGCAGTGAACTGGCATTTTTATGGCTTTATTGAAAGGACCATGAAATGTACTTTCTGCTGACATGCGAAGAGTAAGTGTCGGATAACCTTTTGACCCTCAAGAGGAGGGTTAAACATGGATTTGTTTACTGTTAGAAAGAATTTGACTGCCGGGTTTGCTAGTAGAATCTATACATGCCTGGATTTATGAGGCTACAATGTCACAGTGAAATTTCAAAAGCTGAATTTGGTTGAAGAAGGTTTATGCTCCTTAAATCATATAATTTCTATGGCATTCTGTACAGTCAGTGTGTTACATGTAACTTATGCCACTGCCAGTGGCCACTGCCAGTGCATGTGTTGGTGATAGTACTGTGTAGTTTTTGCCTGCGTTAATTAGTTATAGGTGGCAGCTCTCTATTTCAGCCTGTAGGCTTGCGTAGGTAAATGGATGAGTGCTTACCTATTCTGTCTTGAAAATAGTTGTGGCTACTACGTACGATGGGAGCTTCCATCTTTAATCTTGAGACGCTTAAACGTATGCGCCATCTCGTGGCAACTTTCAAAACGATCCCAACAAACTCCTTTGAGAAGGTTCCTGATACCATCCCTGTGCCTTCCACTGTTTCGGCGCGTATGTGAACACATTTGGGACTAACAGGGTTTACTAGAATCCCACCACTCCACCACAGAGTCACCGCAGTAGACGTTAAACGAGCGCTGTCGCTCCGCGACACTTGTTAATCTTAAGACACTTAAACGTACGCGCCATCTCGTGGCAACTTTCATAACTATCCCAACGAACATTCCTTCGAGAAGGTTCCTGATACCATCCCTGTGCCTTCCACAGTTTCGGCGCGTATATGAACACATTTGGGACTAACAGGGTTTACTAGAATCCCACCACTCCACCACAGAGTCACCGCAGTAGACGTGAGATGAGCGCTGTCGCTCTGAGGCGCTTGTTTAATAAAAATGTTGCCTTGAAAAATATTAGATAATTCTTTGAATTTCGTGTAACTAGTAGTTGCTCAATCCTAGTTTGTGACCCTGGCCCTCATTTTCGCAAATGTGCTAAACTAAGCCGGGGTGATAAACTCAGATTGAACGCTGGTAGTAATGCAACTGATAACAATGGTCTATGCATGCATTATCAATCTATGTAGTGGATGCAGTGTGGTCCATTACTGGTGCTGATAGGGTCTATGTCCCCCAGGGTACTGCCGGAACTTACACTGGTAACTATCTGATATGCCGGACCGTACCTCGCTTACTCTCTACCGTACCCTGACTGTCCCTGTTCCGCCCACTACTGATGTTGCAAAATTTGAAATATACATACAGACCTGTATGATATCTTTATAAAGTTGGATTGGAGTATGAAACTGTGAAACCAAGAAGCAATTTCGACCTATATACACATTATACACTGATGCGCACAATCCTTTTGATAATATAGCGATGATCGGGAATGCGTTTTCCTTTCGCAATGTTTACGACATTTTTGCGAATTTTTGCGCGAGATTTTTGAAAGATGGCTCCAAGTGTTGAGGTGGAACAGGAAAATTTGTATGATTATCTTAATGGGTTGGAAACGTATAGACTCGCTGACACTTGTAGAAAGGGTCGGGAGGTGAAACGTAACACCAACAGGGTATGGGTTACGAATATTTTGTGGGAACGGACCGGAAACAAGGAACGGGAGCATAAAGCGGCATGTTTCCTGCCGACAAGCGGTATGTATTACGACATCGGCTGAAAGTCAGGGTACGGTTTGGAGCAGGCGAGGTACGGTCCGGCATATTAGATAGTTACCAGGGTACGTTCCGGTATACCGGAATATTTGGAACCATTTTTTCGGTAGTAAGCCAAGTTCACACAAGTGTAGAATTTGTTGCCACGTCACAGGTACCTACCTGGTATACATGTTCAAATGCATGAGGATGTACCCTGGTTGTTGCTGCAGTCGACATCCAGAAGACCACTGGAAACCTAACATGGCCAGTGCCACCACCATACAAGGAAATGTCTGAATGTCCGTCGTGGATGAAAATGCATTTAAATGACTTTACAGTAAAGAGTTTAAAGGGATTTTGATTGAGAAAATGGGTTTTGTTAGTGTCTACATCATGATAGAAAAGGTCTTGTACCATCGCGCATGGTGATAAACATTGGGGTACCCTCAAATCCATAGCACTGCTATAGTGCATGCGAGAGCTAGGAAGCATGATACGGAACCAGTCACAGGCTGGATAGTCAGTTTCTGGTAGCAATTGCCTTGGGGGGGGGGAAATGGCCGCTGTACGTGTGGAGTCAGTCTAGAGTGACTATATAGATGTGGTGTTCACAAGGGGGTCATACCCATGTGTCCCGGTACCTATGTGTCCCACCCCCAGGTACCTATGTTTCCCGGTACCTATACGGTCAACGATAACTCAAGAACCGTTTGACCCACATGTTTCAAATTGCATACAGTTGTTACTCCTATGGGCGAGATTTGAACGTCCTATTTTGGAGCACGCCAGTCGACCTACTTTCAAGCCACGCCTACTTTTTTGCAAAAATGAAAATGGCCATCTAGATTCATTCGATTTTGTTAAATTATTGTATATGAATGTGTAACTGTAAAGCTAGCTCCAAAACAGTTGTTACTACTCCTATGGGAGAGATGACAACGTCTTATTATGTTTATTTCGTCTAACTGGTTAACAATTCTACAATCATACCTATATACGTGTAATATTGTGTTTTAGATTCTTCGTTACAATAATTTGACTGGAATATTTTATTGTTTTTATTTGCGCGATATTCGAAAACCAAAATGGCGATCATTTAGGCGTAGCGCCATCTCTCGTCAAGATTTCAGACTCAGATCTGAAACATTTATTTTCGCATCAAAACTTATGCAAAATGCATATATATATATATCATTATCAAGAGTATATAATGGGAGATATGCTATATAATGGGAGTTTTCCCATATATATACTCTTGCTTTATATATCCCCCCTCCCTCTTCTATCACACCCAAGATGAGCTACAGTATGGTGGCCGAGATGGCTACGGATATTTTTATTCCAAATTCATTTCTATTTCAAATTCATTTTCATTTCAAATTCATTTTCATT